GCTGGCCACGTTTCTTTTGATGCAGCCCAGGATACGGTTGGTTTTCTGCGCTGCGAGCACACATTGCCAGCTCATGTCTAGCTTTTCATCCACGAGTACCCCCAAGTCCTTCTCAGCAGGGCTACTCTCAATCCCTTCATCTCCCAGCCTGTATTGATACTGGGGGTTGCCTTGACCCAGGTGCAGGACCCTGCACTTGGGCTTGTTGAACCTTATAACTCTCACATGGGCCCACTTCTCGAGCTTGTCCAGGTCCCTCTGGATGGCATTCTGTCCCTCAGGGGTGTCAGCTGCACCACTCAACTTCTAACAAGAGACAGCCTATGTTGGACTGAGCTACCCTAGATAGTTCATATGGTTTTAGGGTTGAGTTCTGAAACTCAACAGCTGCCAAAGCTGAATCACTATAGCCAGGGAAACACAAATTGCAGGAAACAGTCACTTGAGGGAAGCGCACAGTCAGGTGCTGGTGCCCTGAGTGGATGTCCTGACTTCCCTCAAAAGAGCCTGACCCAGAAACCAAGAGTTGTTTGATCTGAAACCAAAATTAGTGTTACTGCAAGAGGATCTCTTTCCATGTTGGACTAGCTAAACTATTATCTTTTTCCAGTCTGTTTAAGACAAAGTGTTTCTACAGCCCTGTCTCACCATAACATTGTGGCTTTCTCCTGGCCCTGTCAGCTTGATCACCTTATCAGCATAGAGCAGGAGGACTAGGACTTGCATATCAGTCTCTGGTTTTAGTGTGATTAGGACTCAGGGCCTGTACTTAGTTTGCCACGTGCCTTTGTACAGGTGACAAATATGGGTATTTGAGATTGTTCTCTGAAACATGATGCACTGAGGTTTTGTAGTAGTTCCATGGAGATGGAGGTAAAACCTGGGAACCTTCTTAATTATGGGTTAAGAGCTGACACCTGAATTCAGACCCAGCACCTTGATTTATTCCTTGAAATAAGGCCAAGTGGGTAACAGTAGCCTAAAAAGCTTATATAAGAGAAGTTAGTGGGGTGACTGTTCCTCCTATTAAAGTAAGAAAACAGTGATTAGGAAGTATAATGCTGAGTTTTTCTTCCTCAGTTTCTGCAGTGCTGAGTTTGCAGAAGAGAGAATGTGCCCTTCTCAGGTACCTGGGAAGTGCTTTTAAGTGTTACTAACACATCGGTTAGAGCCTGAAAATGCTTTAATTGCTAAGGACCAAGACTGGCAAGGGTTGGGGTTTTTTTGGTTTTTCATTTCTACTAGTAACCTGATACTCTTTTCTGTTCTTTTTGGTTTCCTATAGTCATACTGAGGTTAGCTGTATAAATAACAGAAATTTGCCCACCCTAATGTGCCTTTCAAAAGAATATCAGAGGATGAGGTACTATTGCTGTAACATAGAAAATAAATGTAATGCCACTTTTGACAGAATTTAACACTCCTGCAATCCATAAAGGTACAGAAAAGTAAGATGGATTTTAAACAATGATTAAAGTAGAAAACTGAATTGATAAAGCAGCAAAGCAACTCCCTTACCCCGTAGTTTTTCTGTTTACATGAGAAATCTTTTAAATACTAGTGTTAATCTTGCTCTGTTTTCACTAGCTGTAGGCTGATGCATTCGTTATTAAGCAAAACCCATCCCTTTTGGAGTGCTGTGGCAAGTGTCTGTACTAATTGAAAATAACCCTTTGGGACTTGCTCTCAGTACAACAACTGGCTCTCTCGGTAAAACAGAGAGCTCCAGGTTTTGAGGCAGCCTTTAACTAAGTGTAGAAATGTTTCAGAAAGGTATTGGTAAGTAGCCCAAAGCAACTATGTTCTGGACTTCACTGCTGAGCCAGATCAACCCTCTGATAAGTGCTGAAAGGACTTCTTGTGAATCCAAGAGGAGCAGCGTAAGGTAAGAAACTGGTGACACAGGTTGTGGGAGAGCATTTCATATCCACAGGTTTGTCTGTGGACTTGGTCTGGTGAAATATTCAGCTTTTGTCTTCAGGCTTTCCATAGTAGCGTATCTAATACAGAAACTAATACTGACTTAGTATGCAGTTGTTCCTATGAAATTCAATACTTCTGTTTGGATGTTCTGCGTTACAGTAATGAGTATCATTTCAGATGGGAACTATGCTGTCCAGGTGGATGCAGAATCTGCCATGCATCTTCTGTGTCTCAACAGTTGTCACAAACTTGTAAAACCCCCTCTGGTTATGGGGGTAGAAAGCTCTGAGTCAAGAAGGTGGGATTTTAGGTGTGGTGTTTAGTTATAACAGGCCCACCTTTTCATCAGCTAAGAGGAGATGGCTGTTCAGTTTGCCACATGCACATCCTTCCTTTAATTGCCATTCCCTGGTTGCTGCTACAGTTTAGTCTGTGCAAATGGGAATCAGGTAGTGCCTGGTGAAGACACGAGCAGACTGCTCTTGGGAGGCAGCTAAGTATCCAGGGAGATCTGGCTTAGAATCCGGGCTTGGACAAAGCACAATGTCAAACAGCGAGATGCTCACTGCAGTGGCGTCTGTGGGTGATACCTGGCCAGGGACAAGGCAACCCAGGAGCACAGCTTCTGCAGCCCGAAGGAGGAAAGGGTACCTGCTACCTCTTCTCAAATGTGCAGGAATACCTTTCCTGCTTGATGAGCACTGGGCATAAAAAAGCCTATTGTAGGTGATGAAACTCCTATGCAGCTATCTATACCTTTCATGTTTACAGTGTTTACCTGCAGTACTTAGCTGCTCATATATACCTGAAGTTAGTGTATTAAATTGGAAGTTGACAATGCACTGTAAATTTGACCCTTTTTCAGCCTGTACCATGTAATAGAATAATCCGTTATATTACATTTGACTGCATTTTCTTATATATCTTTTACACAAAACCCAAATTACACTGGATGGGTGGTTCCTAAGGACCAAGACAACTTTTCAGTGTGCTTTTAATCTTGCTTTTATTCTGTTCACATGGTGGGTCCATGCCAGTCTGCTTGACGTCCACCTCCCAAACTGAGTAAGGACTCATTGCCATAGGGTTTTAATAGCATTAGAACTTATTACTGATAACTTATTCATATTCAGATCTGACCCTTTTGGGATGTGCCTTATGTAACAGAGTCCTTCATTACATTATCTTATGTAATTTTTACACAGAACTCCAGTCCCATTGGATGGATGTTTCCCAAGAACTGGGAGAAGCGCTTAAGGAAGGAATGGTTGCCATAGGGGTTTTACATAGTTATAGCTTGCTGTTGTTAATGTATTCTGCTTGGAAATTGCCTTTTTACTGTACATGCAGATAGGCAAGCTGAAAAAGGGAGATTAAATCTCAATTAATTTCGGACACCTCTGAAACATTCTTCTTTGGAAATGCAGAGCACTTTTCTCTAAGCAAACCTTTGGAAAAAATGAGGCTCTGTTTTTAAAGCACTGTTTGAACCTCAGTTATTTAACCTGCACAACACCTCTGCAGGACAGGTTCATTAGCTTTATTTTCATCAATTTATACACGAGAGTATAAAGAAAGTACTAAGTGACTTACTGAGAAGAGCACAACAAGCACATAGCAAAAAAACCTTCAAATTTGAACTTGGGGCTTCCTCTTCCTGGCATGTCCTGTTCTTCTTTTTACAGATCTGTTGATTCCAAATGCATGTGTGTGTAACACATCTGGAATCTGCATGGTTCCCAAACTGGAAAAAATGAGAAATGATCAGCAATTTGTGTTTTCTTACGGAAATTTTTTTTATTCAATGAGTTACTCAACACTTGCACTGTTGCTGAAGTAACCATCAAACTGAAATGGAGTATGTCACATGCAACTGTCTTAATTGTGAGATCATTCTCTTTAACATATGTTTAGAAAAACTGAATTCAGACTTTGTGGTAAATGAGCTATTCTCTGAATGTTGTCTCCAGTACAGTTGTGCAAAGATATCTTAGCATAGGGCATGTTTGTATTAATACATACATACAAGTAAGTTTAAAATTCTTTTCTTAATTTTAAGATGAACTCAAACAATGTTTCACAGCTTTTCTTTCTAATGATATTCTCCAAAACACTCTGGGTGGGAGTGGGAGGAAAATAAAAGTACAGGAATTGCCAAATGAACATTTGACTGTGAAATTCAGCAGCCTATCTCTGACAGTGGCCAATAATAGATGCTCAAGTGAGAACTGAAAGAAAAAGGACAGAAGTAATCCTATCTAACAAATTAAGCAGCACAGAAACTGTTTGTGCCAGATGTTTCTCTGATTAAAACATCAAACACTGTAAGATGCAAAAGAAAAAATGGATGCAGTCAATGACCCTCTTTCTCTAACGTGTACAGAAATAGATACATCATGTACAAACAGTTTCTCTCTTGATTTCTGTGGATTTTTTAGCTTCTGAGCCTACAGCTGACAGAGACCCAGACTGAACATGAGACATGTGGTCTCGCTCAGGTGTCGAGATCTGAGGGGGGACTGCAACAGGTAAAAGCCCAGGGTGCCAAGCTCTCACAAAGTCAGAAGGATTCTCTCACCTTCCCACTCAACATCACTGACAAGGCACAAGGGGCTTATGCTGTTTGGGTCCAGGTAGGTCTGGAAATGCTAGGAGCTTAGAACCAAGAGAGCCACTGGAGGTCTGTGCCCTCTCTCTCACCAGGTGACCTGCTCTGCCAAGGATAGGAGGCATTTTTAATGTGGATGAGCATACTCTTCCTCAAAGCTGTAAAGTAAAGCGGATGAGAGGATTTTGTTTTGTAGGTGATGGAGCTGACTTGTTAATAAGGTCTTAATAGTTAAATCCTGTTTTGAAAACATTCATGCCCATTGCCATCTTGTCTGCTGACTTTCTTCCTTCCATTCTTTGATGACTGGAGCACTGTTTCCATTATTTATAGCCATGGTTAACAAACAATCCTATCTGACAAGCACTGGAGAGAGTATCCCCTTATATTCTAGCACAGAGAAATGTCACTTTGAGTGAGGGAACCAGTCACCCAAAAGAATATCAGCCCGTTGAGAAGCTGGTTTGGACACTGGTGACCATGGGCACCCAGAGGAGCCACGAGAGAGTGGCGACTCCAGAGTCTGCAAATGAATACACACTTTAGTCTGGTCACGCAGCCTTGCTGGAAGAGCTTGGTTCTGTCCTCAGGACACGTGTCTGCCAAGGGGATGATGCAGTTCCATAGGAAAACTTGTTTCAAGCTAAGATCCCTAGTAGGTCTGCCCCCTATTTTACTTTATTTTTTTTCACACAAGATCATTTTCAGTCTAACCGTAGCAAGTCCCAAGTAAACTGTTTAGCAAATAGATGCTAGTAAATGTTCTCCTGGATAACCTTGGTCGGAGATACAAATTGGTAGTGCTGTTCACATGGGCAGGATTTCAGGTTGGTGCTAGCTGTTGCTGGGAATTTTCCTCTGCCATATTCCAGCTTTACATTTCATGGCTCTCGGTTGCGATACTATTTCCATTTCTCCCCAGCATGAGAGAAACAACTAGAATCCTGGCTTGCAATCTGTCTCACTAATGCTTAAGCTGGTGTTCACAGCCCTAAGGGCTTGTAGGCAATTTAATTACATTCATTTCATAATATCAAGTGATCGTATTTTGTAAACATTTTTAATGTATCATCATTAATATGCTAAGGAAAGAAATCTATTTCTGCCAGGAAAGAGGAAATAAATCTTCACTATCTCTTTGGTCCACTAGTTTACATTTAGAATAGAACACCTTTTCTGTAAAGCTGTTGGAGACATATGCTCCCATTATTATCTCACAGTGATTTATCACTAACTCTAAAATAAACATTATATCCAAGTTACCTGCTTGCTACTGCCCTTACTATGCCATTTCAGAATATCTTAAAGAACGAGCATATGCACATTGATGAGGCTTTGGGGTTTTTTTTTGTCTGCACTCAGTTTTTGTATTGTTGACACACTTATTTTTTCAAATTGTATGAAGTAAGAGGGAGAGAAACAAATAAAACCAAAATTGCCAGCTGGAATCCAAGGCAGAGAAGGCAAACTCCCATGCAGAAACCGGTACTGAAATGTCCTTCTTAGAAGGATGCTGAGTGGAAACACGTTCATGTTATAGGGGAAAGGGAAAGCTCACTAAAACATAAAGTTATGCTATACCCTTAAGGTTGAGAGGATCCTTTCACCTATGTGCTGGGGCTGGGTGAGCCAGTGCAGCCCTCAGTAGCTTTTGCTGTCAGCTGCCCAGCATTTCTCCTTTGTGAAATGGGGCATCTCTTTTCTGCTTCCCAGCCACTTTTGCAAGTAACAAATAGCACTATTTCCAGTGGAGTTGAGGAGAAGGTGTTTTTTTATGTCTGGAAGATCAAGGTGACCCAAAGCATAAGACAAGTGGAACCTGTCGTCTCCTGCCTTGGTGGTGCCTGCCTTCTGGTTAACTAATCAGAGGCTGCACCCACTTCAGAGGAACAATGCCATGAAATTATGGATATTTACTTATATTTGAGAAAAGAGTCCAGTATACCTCTCAGTATAAGGGATCATACTATGCCATAGCTGTATAAGCCAAGGGTAATTAACAGTTCCAAAACAACTTACCTTGAGTTGAGGTTAAGGAAAAGAACGTAATGAAGAATAGGGTGAAGTTGGGGGAAGTTACACAATTGTGTGGCTACATTGAAAAGAAAAAGCTAACTAAAAACCACTTGAGAACTTCCTGAAGGCTAATATTACTTATTTTGGTTTTAGATGTTTGATCTGTATTGCAAATCTTCTAGTTCTCCCATGCTGTACAGAATTAGAGCTCAATTAAGGAGTTTGGTCACAAGATGCATCATTGCCCCAACTTGAAAGATGAGGGGAAGAAGGGAGAAAGGTCACTACTCAGCTAGTCATTACTGTACCATTTTCTCCTTTGTTTCTGGTGATCATTGCTGCAGTAAAATTTGTTAATAGCTATGTGAGGGAAGCTAGCCAAGTTGAAGTATCTCTGCTCTTTCACTAAAAATTTCACCCAGTGTCAGTAAATTTCCCTTGGGCAGTGGATTAATCCTGAACATTTAAGATTCTCGTCCCACTTTTGGAAAGGCTGTTTTAGACTCCTAAATGTTTGTCACTGTGTGAAACTACTAAATCCTGATCCGTTCTGTGCTCTATTTGTTCTGAGGTTGTGCAGTGGCAAAACTGTACAGAAATTCTGGGCCGGTTACTTAAAAAAATAATAAATAAACAAAATAATGGCCATCAGGTATAAAATTCTAATTGAGTTCAGAGAAGACTACTGCTTTAGGATTATTAGAATAGCACTTCTTGGTTGTACAGCATTGAGAAGAATTGTTTTTTTACTGTGTTTATAAACTGATGTATGCAAATTCAAAACCTGAAGGATTGCCTATAGATATTTGGCAAATACTGTATAACTAATGCTATGCGGTCATAGAGCAATGTTGTGTTTTACTCCGTGGAAGTAAGCCCCGTGCTGCCTATTTATTTACTTCAAATGTTTTATATTTTTCAACATAATCTCTTTAGTTATTTTGTCTGGCAGATTTTTAGTATAAAATATAGATACGCATCACAGAATACCACAGTAGGTTTTCCTGGCAAAAATGTGCGTAGCCTGCTAGAAGACAGGAGCTGAGGTTAAAAATAGTTAGCATGTGGCAATGCAAGAAGGGGGTTTGGGACTTTAAGATCCATTCTAATTATTCACTAGACCAGTATGCTTCTGTCATCTTCACCAATTCAGAATAACACTTGGAAAAAACAAGTGACCCTCACTATCATACATAATGTGGCAGCTTAATTGGCAAGAAGAGGGTGAAAAGTAGGCTAGGAAAACCCTTTGAGACTGATGGAGCATATTTCAGTGGCTTCATCAAGGTAATGTTCCCCAGGTGATTGGAGGCAGCAAATATTTCATCACGAAAAATAGAAAGGTGCTTCAACTGCAGAACCCCAAACAAATGATTACAAATACTTTTTTTTTAAAAAAAAAAATAACCTTTCATATCCTACATATCTAGAGGAAAAGCAGGAAATTATTACTTTTAATACCCATAAATTATGGTGTTAGTGCACCTAAACTTCACTGCAGCTGCAAGTCATTTTTAACTCAAACAGGCTTTCAGTTGTAATACATGTTTTATTTCATCAAAGGATGGAAGCAGTCAACATGTATTTTTGTGCAGGTTAGCACATAGCACGCCCTTTTGCACACATGCCCAGAACAGAAATGATACTGAAGTATCCTTAATTTCATGGTCACAGAGCCTATCTAGACCCATCAGGCTCACAAAAGCTCACATTTATTCAATATTCAATTTACAGACAAATTTTATAAAGACCTTTTTAAGTGGAAATAATGTAGCTACTATAAGAAGAATTTCAGATAAAAAAAAATCACAAATTAAACAAAGACTTTTTGTTGTTGTTATGACTTTCTAGATAGCATAGTAAAACTATGACGAAAGGAACTTCTAGAGTATTCAGGACAAGTATGCTGGTTCTGTTAAATCCAGATTTAAATAACTAGTCAAAATTTTAAATATCTATTTTAAACAAAATTCATAGCCCTGTTATTAGAAAAGATATGTGTCCCCACATCAATATAAGGTTAATTATTTATATTTTCTCATTAATCTTTTCTGTCAAAAAGACATCATCATGTTATTTTGCTCTTTTAACATTACTAATGTGTACCATGACAGCTAACATAAGCTACTATCTTGACCTAACAAAACGCATGGGAAACTGAAAAACACTTTCTCCTATCATTGCCTGTGCACATAATGTAGGTTGTTATCACCAAGCGTCCCGTGTTCATAAGAACAGACGAGATGTTCTACAAAGTATAGATTAACTTGGGTGCACCTTCAAAATTACTTAATCATATTTGAAATGGAAATGTGCTAGCTAGTTGTTAGTTGCCAGTTAAAATAATTCCTGATCAGCAATGACTAAAAATGTTTGAGGGTAATGGTGTTAGTCCCAGTCTTTCAGACCATGTGTTTGCATCCCAAAATCGGACATTCTCGTGTACTGTCTAAGCAGAGGGTGTTGAGTAGCTGAACGGGTCTGGCCAGAGTATTTTTTATTTTAAGACAGGTCTACAGAAGACCTGAGCATGGATATTGTTCGTGCTACTGGAAAAAGAGGAATTTGATTTCGCATCCAGGAGAAATATAAAATGAGAGCTTTGTCTGATACTGAACTACAGATATTTATGATCACCATGCTCAGTACTGAGATACAATCAGGGATATAATATCTATACCTTACTGGTTGTCATACTTTCCCTAATGCCTACAGCTTTGACCTGAAAGATAACAGTGTGTTTATAATGGGCCACACACCATCAGAGATGTCTCTTCGCAGAGTTAATTCTCATAAGAATTTTCAAGGCTGATACAATTTTCATTCCTGAATCCAATAAATAAATAAAAAGTACAAGCGGATGTTTCAATTGCACAAGTCTGTCAGCTTATAAAAAGAACGTAACGTTTCTTAAACTGACTGCTGTGCTATATGTTAATTAGTCATCACCAGAGAATGAAGGCCTCCATTAGCAGGCAGGTGCATGTGAGATGATGTTAAAGGAATATA